CCCTTCAGAAAGTCGTTTAGGTAATAGTTCTTTTCTCTCCTCATAATCATTGAGTCCCATAAGGTCATTAGTATTATATAGTATTTCAGGCACAGTTTCGCCGTTGTTATGGTTTGGATCTGGAATATTCCCCCCAAAGCTCATGTGTTCAGAACCTGGTTCCAATGCAGCAAGATTTAGAGGTAGGGCTTTTAGGCAATGATTGGATCATAAGAGCTCTGACCTCAATAGTTAGATCAATCCATTGATAGCTGAATGGATTGGTGGGAGGTTGGACCTAGCTGGAGGAAGTAGGTCACTGGAGGTATGTGCTAAAAGATTCTCTCCTTCTTGCCCCTTCTACCTCTGTCCGTGCTTCCTGCCTGCCATGAGCTGAGCAGCCTTCTTCTGCCATGTCCTTCTGCCGTGATATTTCTACCTTGCATCCAGCCAACCATGGACTGAATCCTGAAACTGTGAGCCAAAATAAATCTTTCTTCTTCTAAGGTATTCTTGTCAGATATTTTCGTCACAACAACAGAAAGCTGGCTAACACAGCCATTTAAACTAGCAATATGACTGTGCAAGTTATTTGCCTTATTATGTAAGGTATTTATGAGAATTGAATATTATAAATTACATAAAAAGTTTACTCCAGTTCTGAGAAAATATTAAGCATTTTGTATGTATGAGCTATGATCATCACTAAAAAATACGAAAACCACTTTCTTGTTTATTCTATCTTATATATCATAATATATTCTTATCTGATTAATTAGAATTTCTATAAATGGCCTGACATTAAGGACTTCAATTCATCACTGCATTTCTTTGGTCTAAACCAGGACCAAGCATAGAGGGAGTGCCATACATATTTATTGTTGAATAAATAAATGAATATATACTCTTTGTCCCAAGTAGTTACATGGATTTTTCACTTCTTTGCATCATATTAGACCTCCCATGACTTGACTTAATTTGCTTGACTTTTAGCATGTTCTGCCTGGAACCTCATAAAGTGAGGGACAGTCTATAATGTCTGCTTCAATCTTTACTCTTTATCTTTTGTTCTTTCTTTCTCAAAGTATAAACCTTGTTGTTGTCAGTATAGTCTTTGTGTTATAAGAGTATCCTCTGGCCATTCTTCAAGAGAAGGTCTGCTACCAGTCAGTTCTCCTAATTTTCCTTTAGGAGAATGTCTCCTTAGAAAGTCTTTATTTTCTCTTTATTCTTGAAGGGTAGTTCCACTGGTATGGGATTTAATTTTAACAGTTCTTTTCATTTAGTTTATTAATAATGAGATGTTGTGCCTCTTCTTTCTGGTCCATGTTTTCTGAGGACAAATCCATTTAATCCAAATTTTTCTTCCTTTATACATAATGTATCATTTACTTCTGTCTTTTAAGAAGTTTTTTCCTTCGTCTTTCATTTTAAGATGCTTAATTATGATGTCTCTAGGTGTGAATTTCTTTGAATATATTTTATCTGTGGTTTGCTCAGTTTCCTGACTCAGTAGATATATGTCTTTTGCTAAATTTGAAAGTTCTCATCCATTATTTTTCTCTTGCTACTTCTTCATCCCACTCGACTGTTTTCCTGTGGGCACTCCGATTACACCCATTTAGATCCTTTGTTATTATCCTATATGTTCTTGTGAATCTGTTCATTTCTTTTTCGATTCATTTACTGTTGTTCAAATTGAGTAAATACCACTGATTGGTGTTCAAGCCCACTGATCCTATCCTCTCATCACTGCTCTATTTTTGAGTCCATCTAATGAGATTTATTTTTTAAAATTTCAATTACTGTGTTTTCTACAATTTTCACTAAGTATTTCTATATAACTTCTACTGCTTTGTTGGGATTTTCTTTTTCTTTTCTTTTTTTTTCTTTCTTTGTACCAAGAGACTTTGTAATTGACTGTTGAAGCATTTGTATGATGATTGCTTTAAAATATTTGTTAGATAATTCTCACACCTGGATCATAGTGGTATTGATATCAGTTGATTGTCTTTTCTACTCAGATTGCATTTTTTTCTATTTTTTTTTATAAAACAAAGAATTTCAATTTTCTCATGAATATTTTGGCTATTATATAAGAAAACTATTGATCCTACTTAAAATTTCTATTTTAACATTTAAAATTTTTTTTTTAGTTATATATGGACCCAATATCTTTATTTTGCTTATTTATTTTTATGTGGTGCTAAGGATCGAACCCAGGGCTTCACACCTGAGAGGCAAGTGCTCCACAACTGAGCTACAACCCCAGTCCCTTTACATAGGTTTTAACTACTTTTGTGGACTTTGGTTTGATTTTCAGGGATCTTGCGATGCTGTTCAAGGTTGCTTTTTTCCACTGGTGTTGCTGAAGCTCCTGCTCAGTGTGACTCTAGGTCTCCTCTGAGGGAACTGTTTGCCCTCAGCTGCCTTGGATATAAAGATTTTAATTTAAGTAGTGAAACAATGAATTTTTATCTTAGAACTTGGCATATATGTGTGTGTGTGTGCAAGTTTAACAAGTTTTTTTTCCTACCTGAAAGTGATATTCTTCTACATATTTTTCTAAAAATTTTAAAGTTTGCCCTTTACAATTTTGATTCTTGACACTGCCAAACTGTTTTTTAAACCATGATTTTAAAGATTCATTTCATCTGCTTAAATTGACCAAATTTTATACCTGCTGTTATCACTGTGCATTTCTTTGTGATTTCCTGTGAATTTATAATTATTTCCAAAAAATTAACAAGTGAAAAATCCTCTGTGTTTCAATAAATAGTTCTCAATAGACAAAGTGAAAAATTAATGGAATAAGAGAAGTTATTCCCTAGATGTATCACCACAAAGAATGACTGTCTCAAATATATGAAGAGTTCCTACAACTTAATGAGAAAAAAAAATGAGAAAAAGATGATAACAGGAAAGTTAAAAATATAAAACTGACCTAAGTTAAAAGTTGACAATAAAAATCCCTGGAAATCAAGGAAATGAAAATTTAAACAGTAGTGATATACTAATTCTTACTGTTGTCTAAACTAATTCTCATCCAAAATAAAAAATATGTGATCTTAAAATACTAAGTGTAGGTGAGCTTGTAATGTAGATTCTAAGAATAGAAAAGATCAATTTTTCTAACTTAGGATGAGTTCAAAGAATTTAAATCTCAATGCACAAAATATGGCAACTAATTTTAATCAATATCAAATGATTACACAATTATCTACTTGCAAAAATTTGAGTGATGATTTAAATTTTACTTAAAAAATTCTCACTGAATATTACATTTATAGCATTCAAATACTAGTCATTGTAGTTTTTACTATTATAAGTTTCTAGCACTTAAACATTTGAAAAACAAAACAGTTTTATTATATTTCTATTGGTTTGCTGAATTATGATGATGACAAAGTAAAAAAAATTAATAACAGTTTTGATTTAGTAGAAAAAGCTACAAGATTGGGTATTTATTAGAGAAAACTGGAAACTGGTTGGCTAATTTGTCAGATAGTTGGGACGTGAAGAACAAAAGGTAAAACTTATGGGTGCCCATGGATAGATGGCTGAATGTGACTGGTATTTTGAGTGGGAGACAGCCTGGTAATACAGCTCTCAAGATGTTAGAGCATAAAAGTGCTGATCTGCTTTACCAGTGACCAGAATAGATGTTTTCTTTATTATGCAACAAAATTGGATAACTTTAAAGAAATGAAGCAGCTCATCAAAGTAAAACTTTAGAAGCACCAAGATAGTAAAATGCCATGTCTTATTAAATGTTAAATGACTAATAGCAGCAACACACTCAATACTAATTTTTCAATGGTGCTTGGAAGAAATATATGTTATACTCTTAAATCTTACCTTGGATTGGATCATGCTTTAGACTAGAATTGTCCCTGGGCTCTCAGTAATCCTAATTGATGTCATCACTTGGAAAATGACAGGAAACTGAAGGAAATAGTCTCTGTTTGGAGTTTGATGTAATCTACTTTTTGAAAAGCCTTGGTATCCTGTTTTCTATCAAGTATGTCAGAGCAAGAAGACTAATATGCTTTAGAAAGCTGTTATAGACCACAGATACCTCTCTAGCTTAATAAGGAAGGCACACTTACATATGTGAGTGGGAGAAAATATAAGAAGTATGGGCTTCCAGTGCCACAGTTTAAATCACAAGACAAGTTAGTAACTTTTGTTTATCTTTTGCCCAAATCTGGAGCACTTTGCAATCAAAGATAGAGTGGAAAAGAGGGAAACTGCATAGAGAGGAAGAAAACTACCTTTCTTTGAGGTATTCATGAAGTAACTTGTATTTGGTACTCTCCAGCTAAACCCACTGCAGCTAATGTCACTAAGAAAATTGAAGTCATGGCGTAGAGGTATTTGCAACATGTTATCATCAATGATGGATGAGTGCCCAAAATATGTAAAATATTCTTACTAATCAGTATTTAAAAGGCAAATCAATTTTTTAAATGGACCAGGGTTCACTGTATTATTATTATTATTTTTTTTTTTTTGAAGAGAAGAAAAATAGTCATGTTTGGCTTGCATCTGCTAAAGAGCACCTAGAAGATACAGCTTTTTGATGGCAAACATACTGGCTAGATCCTCAAAGCCAGGGCTGGCCCTCCCACTGCACTGCAGGTAGGAGGGGTATCTCTGTTTCCCAGCCTGGGCCTTTTCCCAAAGCCACTGATGCAGAAACACTTTGAACAAAATCTAAATGATGATAAACTGGGGAAAGTGCTAATGTAGACATGGCTTGGCCTGGGTCCTGACTCGGATAATCTGAATCCTGTCAACATTATTAGGAATTCAACCTGCTCAGTTTCCTAATGGGGTTAGATCAAACACATTCCAGAAGTCAGAATGCAGCACAGTAAACACGTGGAACAGAGAGAGCTGATTTGGAGACCTGATCCAACACACCACCTGATCTTCTCATCCATTTCCCAAACACTCAGAAGGTTACAGAAAGGAATAGTAGCTAATGCATGAAAAGTGCTTTCTGAAATCACCAACACTTATTTTCCCAAGATGAAACTTTATTTGGGGCATCAAGCAACATATTAAAAGAGGTGAGTCATGCACAATTCATGTCCTTAATTCCATAATTGTACATCAGATATTCTGTCCTCTTAAAAAGGGCATACAGTGAGCAAAGATGAGAAGCAGATATGCTTTTATACATAAACCTATCAATATAGTGCTTAAGAGATTTCTTCTTTAGACTTCATTTTTTCTTCCTTAAAAGGCTGGTAGGTTTTATTTGGGGAAACTAAAACAACTATCTCTTTCACTGAGGATGAGGTTTCTCCCCAGAGTTATTTATGAAATAATGCAGCTGCCTTTTTCCTTGAAGGGATTCTTGTCTTCTGGAATTCCCTTCACCAGTGGATCTTCTCCAGAACGTTCTTCGATATAGTTCTTTATTTCTTCAGAACACTTAGACACCTGATGTACAGAAACAACAAATAAATAAATATTAATAAAAAGAATTAGTTCAGAAATGTTCAAACTTTATCATCACCTTTTAGTGAAATTATTATAGTTGTATAAGCCAGCTTTACTTTTTAAAAATTTACATTTGTACATAATTTCTGTACTAGACACTTAATAATATTATTTCTATATAAGATATAATCTATTCAATATAGTTCTTACTATTGGTCAAGATCAAAATATTTCAAAGTCACTGTATTAAGTAAATCATCCCTAGAAATTTGCATTCATTATGTCTCATATGAGTTCCTTCCTAGGTTAAAACATAATTTTGACATGTTTACCATAATTTGGGAACTCAAACATATTATACTTTAAAATTTTCATGATAATGAAGAAATGCAGCAGGAAAAATGCCCAGTTTTGGCGTGTGTTGTGCCTCAATTCTCACTCAGTGGTATGTGCCCTGTCTGGAATTTCACACAGTGACAGCAGCATTAGGGAAAACCACTCTGGGAAGGGTGGAGTTGCCCACATAGCTCATTCTGTGTCTCTGTTCATAGTCCCTTCCTGCTGCATAAAGGCAATAATCATAATAAAAGCCTTATCAAAGGCTTATTAAGCTTATCTGAAATTCTTGGGTTCATGTAATCAGTTTAAACTTTTTCTGCAATGAAAAAAGGATTGAATAGTTTCTTCAAAAAGTTTATCCTTAAAGGACAGTTTGAAAGAGTTTACACACACACACACACACACACACACACACACACACACGGAATAAATAGGAGTGAAAAGAGAAGAATTGATGTCTTAATAAATGTTTATATTCCTAGTAAGAAATTAGAAGTAAAAACTGTAGATGCTTTAACCAATTGCACTGGAGATCTATTGAAAGCAGGCGAATATTCCCATTGAATTTGTTAGCTAGATTAGTAGCTTCAAACTATTTTAATGAATATCACTATAACATATTTTCATATGCATCCCAAAATGTACATAATAATTTACTTATAAATAAGTGCAGATACCACAGTGTTAATATATTATACACAATTTTAAAGCACAAATGATAATTATGGAAGTATGAAATTTAAACTTTGACAAAAATAAAAATTTCATTATTTCACTTAAAAACCCCAAGGGTTATTCTTTGCACAGCAGAGTGGAGGTCACTGATTCAAAATTTAAAACTAGGTGATACAACTTAAAATATAGTTATGTAACTTTTTACAGCAAAATAAAATCTTTTCAAGGACCATTCTCTCAGATAATATTTGCTCTCAATTGTTGCTGCCAATCATAGGGTGTGTTATTATAAATAAATTATCAGAATTGATGAAGCAAGTGGCTATTACCTGGAGTCTGTGGCCCTCAAGAAATTTCTAGATAAGATTCAAGTTCACATTATATTTGTTCTTATAGAGGCTTTTTCATTAGGTTTCCAAAGAGGTCTGTAATCTCTGAAAGTGAATTATTGTTCCTCTGATACATTTCCATTCATGATCAAGGGAATATGTTTGACCAACATTCTAATTAGCTAGAGCACCAGATGTAACTTGTGAATTTGTATTCTTGGCCTGAACAGAGCACACAGCTCAGATGTTAACAGTCGAGTAACAAAATAATAAACTGGGCATCAGGAAAAGCATTTTCAAGTATCTGCCTATCACTCTCAGTGGTCTTATGTAAGGAACTAGTCAGCTGCTCCGACACTCAGGTTTTTGTTTTTCATTTTTTTTTTAAATCCTTAAAGTGAAGTAGTTGAATAGTCTTTAGGAGTCACAACACTAGCCTAGTACTAATAGTCTATAATTTACAGTGCATAATAAAATAGATTTGAATATTTTTTATTAGGACTTAGATGTCTCTGCCTTGTCTAGCAAGCCTAACCCTGAAGTTTTCTCTTCCTCTGGCGTACAACTGGAGTTGGGAAACTGACTTAACAGGGCATGTCTTAAGGGGTAGTGGTGTCTGGCAGGGAGAAGCTGCTAAGGAATGATGCTTGTTTTCTACATTGTCACTTGCCTGATATCTAATTTGAAACATGAAATAAGTAAAACAGACTTGTTTCTTTTTTCCCCCTTATAGTTCTGCATAGTGATACCAAATATTAAGATATTGCAACTTTGCACAGGCAATGTATTATTTCAATATAAGCAATTCTATTTAATTCATAATACTAAGTGGTAAAATCAAGGTGGCCAACACTTGCTATACTGGGGGATTTGCCTTGACTGAAATGAGACCCTTCAAGAAACAAGCTTATTAACTGGGTCCTGTTTATCCCTATGAACATTGGCATTTTGAAAGTTTCAGCATAGAGAAGAAGGACATCCCATTGCAAATTCTAGGAGGAGCCAAGATTTGGAATTGGGAAGTAGAAGGTTAAGTTTGAAGACCAAAAAAAAAAAAAAAAAAATGTGTAAAATGTAAAAGTAAAACTTGAAAAAATCTTCCAATCATCACAGACTGAAATAGAATATTAAGAAGAATGACAATATTTATAAGATTTGCTTCATTTCCATTCTTTTTCTTAAAAATTTTAAAGTATTAAATGATAAATAAAATCAGCTCAAAACATTCTTGCTATAGAGAAAAGATTAGATAACTTCCTTTAAAAAAGAAAAATCTATCCATAAGCTTTCTTCTCCTGTGCCACAGATTGCTTGATGGTATATAAAGGGAAGAAAGATTAGTTTCCTAATTAAGGCTCTCATTACCAGTAGAAATTGAAGTAAAAGCTACAAAACTTTCATCAAGTTTCAGGGGACATCTCTGAATACACAGGCATATGTTTTTGATGAAATAGTAGTCCCTTCTCAGTCGTGTCTAAAATTTTTAAATTGCAACTCATACATCTCAGTAGAGATATAATTATTTATAAATAAATAGATTCTACTGTATGGACCCATTATTCATATTTATAAAACTGGATATTATAAAGACATGGGATTTACAAATAAAAACAGAAACTCGGACATTTTGTTTCCAAGCTCCAATGGACAAAACTATCACATCACTGAAGACCACTGGTGAAATTCAAAACTAGGTGAAGTAGTTGGAAGACTTTAAAATGTGGTTTTAGAGAAATTCAAATACCATTCTTTCCAGAACCAACTAGCCATCGTCATTTTCCTATCGCTGGGTTTTTTAAACCAACTGCTATTTACTTCAATGCAAGTTCCTTGTCTCTTTCCCAGGTACAGGCTCCTTCCCTGTTAGGCATTTGGCTTAATGAGCCATTCTTCTTCAGGTCCTTGCTCTCCTCTACCTCCTATCCCTCACATCCACTGGCAGATCCCAGGCACTGCTAAAGTCTTACTTAAAGAGAAGCTGCAAGAATAAATACAAACCACTTGTTTTATTGCAACTAACTAGGAAAAGCACACCCTCCTTTATTTCAGAGAGGGAAGTATTCTGGAACAGACACACTTACCTGTTGTCTCTGCAGCTTCACTTCTTTGCGAAGTTGCTCAACTTCCATCTTCAGCTTTTCTTTCTCTGGCAAATCCTCGATGTGAAGGGCAGGCATTTTTGCTCCAGCCCTGGGCCCAGGGGGAGCTCAGGCAGTGGAGCGGCTGGAAGTGCTGTGAACCAGGGCGCCTCCCGAAATAACTGCAGGTCCTGGCCTCCCGCCCGCCAGCGCAGGACGTGACTGCCTCCCAGCGCCGCTGTCCCCAGCTCCCGGGGGGCTCGGCTTCCTCCGGGACGCCTCCTCACGCCAGCCCTTCCTAGAGTCCAGGGAGCCTAAGCTTTTTCCCAGTCCCTACAACCCCCAAGGTCCCACCCCGGGAACTCAGGGTCAGTCTTGAGTCAAGGTCGGATCCGCTTCCAGCTTCCAGCAGCAGGATCCCGCAGCAGGGATGCTGGTCCCGCGCTGCGGAGCCCTGGACCTGCCACGCCTGGCCGCGGGGATCCACTGGACCGGGCACAACAAAAGTTTTACTTTTGGTCTTTTTTTTTTTTTCTTTTCCCTTTTCCAAGTCACATCCGGGTTTTGTTTGTGAAACAAGGAAAAGAAAGACACTGCCCAGCAGGAAATAACGGTCATTCACCTCTCCAAGAGTTTTTAAAATGTACAGTATATGACTTTTCCATATATATATATATGGAAAAGTTATATACTGATGTGAATACTGGAGAAAAAGCCCAACAGAAAAATGAAACTCAGCTGGTATTCAGTTGATGTGCCTCTGTCTATCCCATGAAAGGCCTAAAAGGAATTTTATACATCTTGAGAGGAAAAGGGGCTTATTAGCTTGTGAACAATATTTACAACTTGCATGGAAATTTTCTGTCATTAAATAAATATCTGCACCTTCAACAAGAGCTTTTTGTTTTATTGTGTGGAGAATGTTCTGTGATCCTTAGAGGTTAAAGAAATGGTATGGGAAGACAGGGCATGAATCCCTCCACTCCCCCATCCCCCAAGGCCAGAGCAATGCTTTGACACTGAGGATTTTGAATTCCTGGCTCAGACATTTCCTGGATACAGGCAGTAGAGTCATTTAATATGGGTTTCTCCACTTTCTGGAAATTAATGTTCATCTAGCTGCCACTTTGTATGGTCAGCAAGTGTCTGTTGTGAAAATTGTTTACATGCAATGGGAACTTTCTCTTTGACTATAAACTAAAACTTAATAGTACTCAAAAGACTGGAAGAAAAAAAATATAAATGTAAGAAATCTTCCCATCAAATATTTCTCTCTCTTTCTCTCCAGAGGTAACCTGGAGAGAAATTGAATTCAAGTGTTTTTCACTTAGAGGCATTAAGTGAATTTAGCACATTTTTCCCCCCTGTTTAGTAAACAGAAGCTCCACCCACTTATCCTTAATGTCTATATTAGAATGAAAAGAATAATGAGCTATTTATTGAGCATTACCCAGTTGTAGCCCCAGCTCTGCCCCTGGCCACCATGAGAAAAGTCATTTAGATTTTACTGGGTTTTAGTTTCTAGTTTGTAAAATATATGATAGAGCAGGGGAGAGGGTGAATTCACCAAAGTATATTATATCTCTAAAAGTATTTATATGCCTAAATATGATAAATCACTTCCACAAAGAATATATTTAGTAGCTTCATTTACTATATTTAATATAGAAGTCATAAAAATAAAAGTATTCTATAAAAATAGAAGGTTTTGGGGGGAGGGGACTAGGAATTGAACTCAGCACTCAACCACTGAGCCACATCCCCAGCCCTATTTTTATTTTATTTAGGAACAGGGTCTCACTGAATTGCTTAGTGCCTCACTCTTGTTGAGCTTCAACAACTGTGAGGCACTAAGATTTTCCTGCCTCAGCCTTTCTAGATTTTCCTGCCTCAAGCCTCTCTAGATTTTCCTGCCTCAGCCTCTCAAGCTGTTGGGATTACAAGCATGGGCCACCATGCCTGGCTAAAATAGAAGCATTTTTGTCTGGAATTTTATTTCCTATGAAATAATCTAATTATATACATGGATATCTATAAGGCTATATTGGTTTTTGGTTCTTTAACTTTTTCCACCATATTAAGAAACTTATATTAGAGAAAACTAACATTAGGCTACTATTTTTTTTAAACTTTGTATTATCAAGTAATTCACAGTAAATGTCTTATTAAGTAATTAATCTAAAATGGATTACAAAAGGTTGAGATCCCATGTTCACACAGCATTCTGGAAACTGTTTTGTTATTTGATTTTTAAATAATAAAATAATGCAGAAACTTTGTTTTCTTAAACAAAAGGGTATATACTCCCCCATTCCTTAAGCATTATAGTTTATCTTCCAGAGAAGAATCATGGTAAGCAATTGCTATCAACAAAATTCAAAAGTTTTGAGTAAGCTTTACATCCAGGGCCTCCTGCATGGTAGACTAGTGCTCTAGTATTGAAGATGCATTCCCAGCCCAGAGTAAATACAATTTTTGAATGAATAAATTTTTAAATTCATATTAGTTGTGTCTAACTTTTTACTTATATTTTACATATTATTCCTAATGAAAATAATTTTACAAAATAATATGAGTATAATATGAAACCTCTTGGGCCAAATATGATAAGTGTAACCAGAAATTAACTTATTAGGTATCCCCTGTTTTTAGATAAATTTGCTTTAAAAAAAAGTAAAAGTAACAATCTTCATTTTTAAATTAAAAGAGCAATGATCACAACATATTTATTTTGGCATGAAATAAGGAGGGAAACATTTCTTTTTACTATTTTCCTGATTTAGTAAGTACATTACTAAAAATTCATATGAAAAAACTCTATATGAAAATATTAAAGAAGTTATGTTGGAATTGATTTAATATTAACTCAGGTTAAAAAATCACTATTCTGGTCTTATTTTATCTTGTGTGTTTGCCAGACACACATTTTGTCTGCCTCCCTTTCATGGGTATAAACTAGATTACCCCTCAAATTCTGCATTCTTACATTTATAAAATAGAAACTGTTTAGAGGTCATTAGAATGATAGTTTAAGGAAGTATTTAACAAACATTTGATGCAGTCTTAGTTCATTTGATTTGGATTTTTATCACATGTCAATTTCCAGGAACTTGGTCATTTCTTAAGATTCCTTTTCTGGGTAGAGATGATGTCAGGTCATAGGATGATCTGGGTCTGATGTTCCTGTTACCTCAACACTACTTATAGTTTACAATACCAAAATGATTGATCAGTTTTGTTCCTACAAGACCTTACTTCCCATCATAGATAATTGTTCATTCTCATTGTTCAGTTGACTATTTTCTTCATGTTAAAAACATTCTTTAGGAATTTAGGAAGTTTGAGTTAAGTTTTGTTTTGAAATCTGGCCAAAATCAAATCAGTCCAAATAAAAATAACAGGAGAGCATTTTTTGTTTGTTGAGTTGAACTTGAACTCACCTACACGTGCAAGTATGTGCAAAGTAATCTCAAACTTCAAGTAGTTTAAATGATATATTGTAATATTTATAACTTGTTCTAACTAATGATAGCAGAAAGTTTTGTTGAAGAGCCAATTGCTATGGTTGTGCCAGGCGTATTTTTTTGTTTCCCTGGAGTCTTACCTCATTCCATTTAACCCAGTAACCACTGGCCCTGAAATAACAACTTCTGAACAAAATAGTCTTTGGTGGTGATAGCTGTGCAATCTCTGGGAGTCATGATTTAATGGACAGTCTTTATACTTCCTTCCTATGATTTCTCTCTTACTCAAAATTCTGACAATCTGTGTTTTTTAGCAATAAAAATTTCACCCTACTGTTGATTTAATCATTAATTAAGCCATAAGAATTTTGAATTCTCCAGTATAAGTAATGCACAAGTACTGAGCTTGCCTGTTTTTAACTGAATTAAATATTTATGAGGTTAATTAAATTGTAGAGACAGTTTGTTAGTTAGTATGGCAGTTTCAAAGATGAAGAGGGCTTCATTCAGGCTTAGGAAATGTACAATACAACATTGAAATTAAGACAACCATTAAAAATCATAACAAATAAAAACAGAAAATAATGTAATGTTAAGTGACTTAAGAGATACACAAAATACTCTTGAGAGAGTGATGAACATCCAATCTCAGAAGAGGAGAAGAATTTCAAAGACTGAAATGAGATGGGGTGGAGAGACCTTTCAGATGGAGGGGTCAGTATGGCCAAGTTTCAAATGGGGAAATACAGGATCATGTCAGGGACTGTGTGTTCACTACCAAAAGTCTACTGGGCTTACAATAATGAAGGACATTTATTGAGGCTTTTTCTATATTCCAGTTTCTGATCTAAAAGTTTTCAGATATCCAAGTATAGATAATGCCTCATTTTATACATGAAAGAAGAAGAAGAAAAAAAGGAGTTTCATGGAGCTGAAGTTGCTTATCCAAAGTCCTCAATAAAGTAGAAAAGAATGTTTTAACTGAGAATCATCAGGCTCCCAAATCTACCTCCATTTGGAAGATAAAAACTAGAGATTAAATTGGTTAGGACTGCACTTTAGATGTTACTGAATTCAACAGCATTAAATTTGTGTTCATTTTCATCAGAAAAAAAAAAGGAATATATGGAACACTTCTCTAAACACTTAACTTTCAGATGGGAAACTCTTAGAGGCAGACCACAATTAAATAAAATACATAGTATGATAGATGGTGATGGGTGCTATGGAGGAAAATAAAGGGGAGGGAGCAAGACAGGAAGTGCTAGTGGTGGGTGGGAGGAATTTAAATAGAAGAGTTATCCTCAGGAAAACAGAGATAAGAGAATCCATGGTTTATCCTGGAATCCCTTAACACCCAAAGCATATTTCATGAAGATATGTGGTGGAGTGTACTGCTATTTAGCCAGAAACACAGTCTTGACCTGAGAATTTAGCCAATTCTCATCTTTGAGGCATTATTTTCTCCATTTCAAAATGAAGGGGTTGGACAAGAATCAACAGATATTTGTTGAGCATTTACTATGGTCACTGAGTTGAGAGCCAAATTTGGGAAAACCTTCAGACTCCCTTCCAGATTAAATAATGGATGGTATTTATCTTGTTTTTAAAAGATGACAGTCAATTAACATTTGAGTATTCTGATGACTGAGGCATCCAGAATAGCATTGCAAATGGGAGGCAGTAAGAAAGAAACACAACAAAAATTTCTGAGTTGAAGTAATGATATTTGTCATTTGTCACAGAAGCAGAGGCAAGTTAGGAATAGCAAATTTTCTATCATTTGCCTTCACCTTTCTGTAAAGGAGATTACTGGTGAGGGTTTTCATGGGGCTGGGGTGAAGTAGCATATACCTTAAAGAATTCTGAAATGTTACCTTGTTTCTTTCGTAGTAATAATACTAGTTAACATTTATTGGGTCTCACTGTGGGCCAGGAAATATGTTACATGTTATAGTTTCTCTAGTATATTATTTAAATTCCATAAGAAAGAGTAGTTAGAACCATTATCATCTTCAATTTCCAGTAGAAGAACTGCATTATGGTTTGGGCATGAGGTGTCCCCCAAAAGTTCCTATTAGTCAGGTTATTCAGAAGTAAATGACTAGGTTATAAGGGCTGTAACCTAATTATCCTAGTTTGAATGGATGATTCAAACTAGATGGTGGTCATAGGCAGGTGAGGGGCATGACTAGAGGAGGTGGGTCACTGGGGTATGCTCTGGAAGGGTTGTTCTCTGTGCCCCCCACGTCTGCTTTCTGACCCCACCAGGAGCCGAGGAGCTTTTCTCTTCTGGGCCCTTCTCCCATGATGTTCTGCCTCATCTTGGGCCCAAAGCAATGGAGTTTAAGACCCCTGCAACTATAAACCAGAATAACCTTTTCCTCCCCTAAGTTGTTCACATTGGGTATTTTAGTCGCAGCAACACAAAAGCTGACTAAAGCAAACAAAGATTTAGAAAGAATTAAGGAACATCCAAAGTCAGTTAGGCAAGAAAGTGGCAGAACCAGAACTCTCTGGTTTCTAAGTCCATTCTAATAACTTTTATCCTGTTGCTAGTTAAATTCACTATGCTTCAGTGACCACAGACTGAACCCTTAATCCAGTTAGCATTCTGGGGGGAAATCACATCACTGGTGAGAAGTAGAGTTGGGTAAGAATGGAGAAAGAGGTTACATTAAAACCATCCCCATTGACTTGGGGTAAGGAGAAAGGGAAAGAAAAATCACCAAGAACAAAACCCTTGCAGCACATATCCTGCCAAGATAGGTCATCAGTGTGTCAAAACAATAGACTTCCTAATTCTGTGACCAAGAGAAAGGTTGAGAAAAAACATGTCTAACTTGTAACATTGCAAAGTAGAATATTATGAGTATTGAAAGGAAAGTGAAGAAACAAAACATTTACTGTCTGCTCATAACTTCCAATACTAAGAGATTAGTTAAAAAACAATTTTAACTGTTTTTAAAGATTTCATCAATATTTATTGTCAATTATGTGTTAAACCGTGTGCTAACTATCTTGAGAAAAGCATAAAATCATCTGTTGTTAATCCTAGTTTTTATTAAAGTTTACATTTATAAATTTAAACATTCATGTGCTTGTTTAATTATACATGAGAAAAAAATCACACTTTCTTTACAATTACAGATATTCTAAAGACTTTTTTTTTCCTTTATGAAATCACACAGCCTCCTTTGAGCTCTTTGAAGGGATTTTTGTCTTCTGGGATACCTTTTACTAGTGGATCTTCCCCAGATCTATCTTCAACATAATCCCTTACTGCTTCACAACATTTGGACACCTTAAGAGGAAGGAGAAAGACAACTCATAAGGTATAAAACAGAATACTGTAGATTTTGAGAATTTATTTATTACAGTAAACTTTCACGTTGTCTCTTTACAAATGATTCTTTCTTTTTTCTGCAGATGCATATGTGCGTTTTACATAGAAGAAGAAAGAGCTGCCCCCAACTTGCCCTCCTGAATATTTACAGACACTGGCCACATTCCAGGGAGGGTTCCCAGCAGAACCTGCCTTCAGCCTCAAAGGAGACAAGATCCAGGGGTCGAACACAACTGGAGCACAAGTGAATATTAAGTAAATCTTCTTCCTCATTCCAAAAAGTGACTAGTAAAGATAGAAGGGAATGAGTAATTTTAAATTCCAGGCTTATCACCTCCTGGATTTGCAGAAATACACACGTATACTTACACTTTAAACTTGTCCACAAGGACTGACCATGACAGCGCTCTACATGAGCTCTGTGGGGTTGGGAACTTTGGCTGGTTTGTTTAATGCATCCCAGGTATCCAGAGCAGAATGTGCATTTAGTTAGTGCTCAATAAATAAGTATGTACTGAGCTGAGTCACTCATGTTTATGAGTTTGCCCCAACTCACCTGTAACATTATTATCACAGCTTATTTAAAAAATAAAACAACAACCACAAAAAACAAGCTTTAGTGTTTTTTGGACTCCCCCAGAAAGAAAGGAGAGAGGCAATGTTGTATACACATGTAACTACAAATGTGTGTAGTACTAGTTGGTAGGGGATCCACTTATTCATGCTTTTAGCTTCAATTTGTTTTGTTTTCAATTAATGTTATTCATGACAGTAACATTGAAATACTTCATTTTTGGAAGTTTATTCAGTGACCATTTCTTAAATTATTAAACAATTCATTGATTTTTTTTCAAGTAAAATCTTTTTTTTTTTTTAAAGAGAGAGTGAGAGAGGAGAGAGAGAGAGAAATTTTTAATATTTATTTTTTAGTTCTCGGTGGACACAACATCTTTTGTTGATATGTGGTGCTGAGGATCAAACCCGGGTCGCACGCATGCCAGGTGAGCGCGCTACCGCTTGAGCCACATCCCCAGCCCTCAAGTAAAATCTTTATATCATATATATATATATATTTATATTGATATATGTGTATGTATGTGTGTGTGTGTCTGAATGTTTGTGTCTCCCCAAATTTATATGTTGAAATCCTAAGCCTTGATGTGATAGTATTAGAAAATGGAGTCTTATGAGAGTGATTAGATCATGAAGGTAGAGCCCTCATGAATGAGATTAGTGTCCTTAGGAAAGAGACCCCAGAGAGCTACCTTGCCTCTTTGGCCAGGTAAGAACACAGAGAAAAGGAAAGATATTCATTGCAGTGTATGAACAGGGAGCAGGCCCTTGATCTTGGAATTACCATTGTTGCAGAACTGTGAGAAATAAATTTCTGTTGTTTATGAGCCTCCCAGTACATGATATTCTGTTCCAGCAGCTTCAATAGACTAAGACAAATGTGGATGTTTGTGGGTGAATATGTGTGTGTATGTGTGTGTGAAGGGTTAGGTGTGTGTTTATCTCTAGAGCAAGAAGGAGAGAAAGTTCTTACAGTCTGATATTAAATCACTTTGACTTCAAATAGCTGGGAGATGTTGAGTAATGGAGAAAAAGAAACACCAAAACTTTATTTTCCTCAAATTAGAAAGATAAGAACTTTAAGTCAACGAGTATGTTTTCCAAGCTTTTGTGCTAGCTGTGGATTCAATTTTATCTTTTCATAAAAACATGCTTTGTGTGTTTGAAAGGGCAACAGGGGACTTTGAGGCAATTATAAGCATCAGATAAGCTAAAAACCTAATTTTGATTGGGACTAAGAATTTTGAGCAAGGTATGAAAAGAATATAAACCCCCTTTGCACTTTGTCCTGATAAAACGATATATTCTTCAAAAATGTAAGATATGCTGCTATCATTTGTGGGGGAGTTTGAGTTCTGCTAACTTTCCTAAAATGAAGAAATCTAAAGTACAGATCTACATTTTCCAAGCTTTAGTCACTATTTGTTTGGTGGAGAATTAATTACGTTGCCATGTCTGCCCCTTCTAGTGGCAGAGAACTCTTGGTAACCATTTCTAAGAGCTCTCAGATGCTTTTGGAAGAAACCAGTGAGTTTTTGTGCCAGAACTCATCCTTAGTTGCAAAAGAAGAATAGAATGTACTCATTCATTACTGCCCAAGACAGTGCTGGAGAGGATGAGGTCATGATTTAAAGACTTGGACAACATCAAAATATTGCATGTAAAGAGAATTTAGAAAAGTACAAACAAAATGTCTACATGCATTGTTTCATTTTAATGCTTCACTAAAATCTAGTCTCTTTCTCCCTCTTTTCTTCTCTCCCTTCATCCTTCTCTTCTCGTGTTCCTTACTTCCTCTCTTCCTGCCTTCCTTTCTCCTTTCTCTCTCCTTCTTACTTTCTTTATTTTTAGCCACTCTTTTAAAATGTGAAAATGTTTTTTAGCTTAGTGATCATACAAAAAACAGGTTAAGGAAGGGCTGATCTTGGCCTAGGCACAATAGTTTTTCAACCCTTGACCTGGAGTCTAAATCAGAGACATAATCTTGGTGTTTAACTTTCTTAATCTCTAATGAATTTTTACATGAATAATTTATTTTTAAGCACATTGAGTCGTTTAGGTATATAATAGAACAGCAACAACAGTCAATGTTTTATAACCTGGGATTCCCAGAGCATCTATTGCTTAAAATAAAATTCTATGGAGAGCTGCAACTTACCAGTACCCTTTCCAGTGTCAGTTCTTTCTTGAGTTGGTCAACCTCCATCTTCAATTTGTCCTTTTCCGACAGGTCCTCAATATTGATCACTGGCATCTTTTGCCTGCTGTAAAAATAGAGTGTTAACTCAAACAGCTGAATTTCTGGACTTCAATCCAGTCTTAGCTCTTTCCTCGGCTCTTAACTTACTAAGCAAACTGCTCTTGGTTTTTATTTTAAATTTCTTAAGACAGTGAATTTCTTGCGAGCTCTCTCTGAACAACTCTAGCACTGCACACTAGCTTTGGGGTTTCAGAGCTTCACTATAATCTTCACTAATATGATTAAAGCAAGCGTTTGACTCTCACACCTGCCAGTAGTTTGTAGGAGGTGTCAGTTTAGTTAGCATATAAGCAAAAAATTTAAGTCTCCTCCTTTCCCCTGGTCTTTTGCACTTTGCAAACTTTAGGTTTTCAACCCTCAACTCTGGTGTCAAGCCCTCCACCCCATCATTTATACCATTTAACTCAGTTTGAGGTCATTTTGAGGACTACCCATTAATCTCCTAAATTGCTAGAGTATTTAATCTGGTATTAAAGGAAAAGTATCTAAAAAGTGTCAGTATAAATTTATTATAGGTAATGGACTGAAATGTGAACCAACAAAATAAAAATAGAGTAAACAGAAATAAAATAAGTTTATCAGAATATAAGTTTATCAGAAATAAACTAGTATATTACTTAAAAGTGTTTCTCCACACAATACCTGGAATTTGTATGTAGATGTTATAATGAATTGCATAATGCTGATGAGCAGATGTAACAGGTTAAAGAGAACACAGGGAGTCTGATCTACCAATGCACATCACATGAGAAGAACAGACTCTTCTGACTTGTTAGAGATCTCTTTTCCTCAATTAAACCAACACGTAATGGGGAAGATGCTTTCTAGCCTAGTACTCCAATGAAATTGCCTGGAAAGAATTTCACTGTAGCCAATGAATTCAATTTTTTCCTTCTCTGGTCTTCTCTTTTTCTATTTTGTCTCTTTAGTTTAATTTTTATAAGGAAGTACTTTTTTGAAAGTACACATATTCAGATCATATGTCATTTCAGAGAACATGACATTGAATGTCTGCATGAAAATACTCTGCTAATGATATATAGGCAGTGAATTTATTTCCTTGTATTAATACAATGTTTTCATTTCCAGAACCTTTAAGGAAATATTGTTTCCCTTCCCAATCTTATAATATTCTTTTCCTCTTTAGGAAAGAGGTAGTTTAGGGTATTTGGGGGGTTAACTGTCATGCAGCAAAGGCCAGTAAAGACAGACAAGAATACTCTTTGGGCATGGAGCCCAGTGTTTCATATATCATTGTGTTTTGGGTGTTATATTCTTAAGAAACAATCTGACAATAAAGAGATCATTTCTTCCTGTGCAATAATTGTCTGATATTTGACAGCCCATTCTCAAATTTATTCTTCCTTCTTACCCAATTTCAGGCTATGTATAAAACTTCATAAGTATTTCTGCTAGCTTTATCTGATCATTTTGTCCTTTTTACAACTTTTCTCCACACTGAAAAACTTCTCATACTTCACACTTCAGTGTGTGTAAGAATTTCTTTGGTGTATAGTAAAAATAGTGTATTTTTTTCAGAATGTATTTTTAATTTCTTAATGAGAGCACATATCTCATTAAACATGAGCCCAATCAAAGAGCTTTTGACTTGGCAAATCTGGGACAGTACTTAAGATTTATTTTTCTCTATTCCAGGAAGTTATACTATATGATGCCAAAAAAAAAAAAGTCTTTCACTTGCTAGCTGTGTGGCCTTGACCAAATTATCTAACCTGGCCATGCCTTGGTTTACTGGAAAATAGGAGCAATACTAGGTTGAAGTTTGTTTTGCTTTGTTTTGTTTTTGTACTGGGCATTGAACCCAGGAACACCTTACCACTGAGCTACATCTTTATCCCTATTTATTTATTTATTTGTTTATTTTGAGACATGGTCTCCAAAGCTGCTGAGGTTTTTCATTAAATTGCTGAGACTGGCCTCGAACTCCTGATCCTCTTGCCTCAGCCTCCAGAGTTACTGGGATTAGAGGTGTGTACTACCAGGCCCACCTTGAAGATATTCTATTCTTTAAAAAACAGAAACCTCTTTTCCAGGTTGAAGTACCCATCCTCTAGCAGCTACAGGTATTAACTGTCATGGGCAGACCTTCTATGCAAGTTGGCTCTTGACTGACGGGAACAATTTCACCTGTAACACCTAGAAGACTATGTCCTTACCTATCCCTGAGGGTGATCTAAGTGTAGCAAATAGCTGGCTGAATCTAGCAGCTTTGGCCTTTGTTTCTTGGTTGAAAATCTTAGTTGTAGTTGAGAAATTACCAGAGTTCCAGAATTTTAGGATGATACTTGATTTTTGAAATTACTTTTTTACTAATTTCTGCCCCATCCAGTTTTTCTCACTTCTTCAGAGATTTCGCCCTGAGAGCTTACCCTCAATAAACCATCTGGGTAAGACTCCCTGTCTTAGACTTTGCTTCTAGGAAACCCAGTCTAAAATAGTGAACTGTTAGTAGAGAGGCCATACATTTCATAAGTTTGTGTCCCCACTACTACTTATGGTATAGAGAAGAGAATCAGCAAGTGGTGGTAAGTTTACTTAACATTTGTCATAAAATTCACCTAGATATAGAAAAATTTGCAAATTATCTGACTTCATGTATTAACAAGTAATGTCTCAACTCTAAAATGTGATTTACCATGTTTAATAACATATAATCATTTTTAAAAAATCACTTCATTTTGAGGAAGACTCTAGGAAGCTCGCCAAAATCGATGCCACAGTTCTTGTATTAAAAGAAAAAAAGAGTAGATCACAATTTTCACTCCTTCGAGGACACCCAGCCACACAAGGGATAACATCGTACATTGTCTGCATAGAGATTCCTAATGTTTACAGTTATATTAGAGTCAAGGGATCAAAGAATTCATATATAACTTTGTCTCCTTTACTCTCTATCCTATTTTTCAGATGAGGCAAACATGGCCTAGCATCTTTAAGTGTTCAACATCAACCATTAAGAGGCAGTAAAACTGAGCTTACCACACCAGGTATTTGATTTCTGTTTTGGGGTGTTTTCACTTCCAATGCACTTCTCTCAAATTAGTGTTACAGGAGAGGAATTGTTTTTCAAACAATTCTATAGAATAACATACAGAATTCAGAGTTGGCAATAAATGGAACTAAATCCTACCCATTCCCTTGTTTTTTAAGCTTTCAGGTTAGTCCACTTCTCCATGGGAAGTCTTAAGAGGAGCTAGATAACATTACTGGCCCAACTACTAACCATCCTCAATCAACCCAAAGACCCATAGCCCAATAAGCCCACCCAGGGGGAAAACATACCCATTAAGAAGGAGACTTTGCCTTTTTACCTTTTCTTTCATCTTGCACTACCATTAGAGAATCCAAGGTGCTGAAAAAGCAAAGCAGAGAGGAGTGGGAGGAAGAATCTCAGAATTGTACTCCATTCATAGAAGTTCTCAATGGGAGCAATACTGCCCCCTACAGGAGATTTTTGAAAATAAGTCAGGTTATTTGTTGTGGTTTTTAATAGATTTTGTGGGTGTGAATGCTGGATGTCAGATATCTTGCATTTCCCAAGACCTTAATGCATAAGTTGAACTCTTCCAAAGCCAACATGACTGTCAAATATCATGTCAAACATCTACATAGTCAAAAATTTATATTATTTGACCTTAAATCTAACTTCATTTTAGATAAAAACATAAAATGTATTTCATGGTGTTATACACACTGAATTTTACAATAATGAAAATATTTACTAAATAGAGTAGAGATCATGCACCAGTAATTATTTGCAGAAACTTGTTTACGTTGTTTACAGAAAATCATATCATTAACTGCCCACGTAGCTTGGTTTATGTGTCAGTTGGTATTCTTAGCTGCTGTATCCTTGGTGATTCTACACATTAGAAGCATTTGACCACTTTTTTATATATACTCATGATGAATATTTTCATATTAAACCCATTTTCATTCTTTATAATTTGCTGAATTTGAAAAAACTCCTTAATTACAATCCAAGCACCATATTGATGGTTTTAGATGGGCCACTATAAAATATTTCTTAAACAACCAGACTCTGGATGGATGAGATTTGTGATCATATAGCCCCAGAAGAGAGAGAGAGAGCTAGAACACACATTGTCTTGAATCTTCTTGGTCTTAATTACCAGGATGGGTTCTTACTAGCCAAATATGGCCAACAATATCTGTCTAAAGGATTGCCAAGTGGGCAGTTTCTCATAAAGAAATGGAAGCTAAACAACATAGTTCATTATGCACTTCTGTAAACACATAATATTTTTTATGCAAACAATCTCCATACATTAATTTTCTTTTAAAAAAAGTTCATATTTACCAAATGTAGAAAAGAAAGGCAGATGCACTTAGCAATGCAATCAAGTCATCGTGGCTATTGACAGAGGCCTGGGGCTTCCATTGCTCCATCAGCATTAGTGGTTTCTTTTTTCAAAATTCATTTGAACATTTTGGGAGGATAGAATTATATAAAGTGGGTTAAGGGCCTCTAATATCTTTAAAGTTTCCATTACGTTTCTTGTGAATTTATTTTAGAATTAACATGAGCTAGAATAAGGTTCAAAGGCTGCCTGTTTTCTGTTTTTAAGTGTGTATCAAAAAAACCTGATAAATAAGATATTTAACTTATGAGGGCCTAGATTAAGGACAAGTCATTCAAGTTAGTGCTCAAAATTCCTTTGTTTTATACAGAGGATTAATCACCAGTTCCTTGAAATAGAAATGTTGCCTGCATATTCCAAATATTATCTAATTTGTAAACATTCAGTTTGACACAATTTTTCAGAAAAAATCCACTATATTAAATTTGAAATCATATGTATGTAACTTACCTTACACTATTCTTTTTCATCCTAATATTTTACTTAGGACTATAAAAGATTAACAGCTAGCATTTTGTTCATTCATCCCACAAATATGTAGTGAGCATCTCTTATGTGCTAGACACAATTCTAGATGGGTTGGCAGTAGGAGAGGGGGAATAAAAACAAAAAAAAATTATTCTAGTGAGGAAGAAAAACAATAACAATATACAAAAGTAAATTATACCTAATTTAAATTGGAATAACTGCTAAGGAAACATGTAAATCAAGAAAAGAGTAAGAATAGGAGTGTCAGAAATGTTTTAACTATAGAGGCAGGAGGATTTCAAGTTCAAAGTCAGCCTCAGTAACTTAGAGAGGCCCTAAGTAACTTAGTGAGTGAGATGGTGTTGGTGTCTCAAAATAAAGAATAAATAAGGGCTGGGATATGGCTCAGTGGTTGAGTGCCCCTGGGTTTAATCCCTGGTAGAAAAAAAAATGTTTCAACTACAGAAGGTGGTCATGGAGGCCATTCTGAGACAATGCTCCTGGAGTGAAGACCCATGAGAGTGGGCTATGCAGGTGTCTAAGAGATGACCATCCCAGGGCATGGCAAGGGCAGGGCAGCAGCGAGCAAGCGTGAATCTGAGGAGCCTAGTGACCACAGGGGAGAGCAGTGCAGGAAATCAGGGCCCATGGAGTTTTCACAGGCAACTGTGAAGATGTGCTGTATTCTGAGTGACTTAGGGAACATTAGGGACCTTTCAGTAATAGGGTGACATTATCTGTCACATATTTTGGCAGGGTCATTCTGGCAGCTATTTGGAGATTAGATCATAGGGAGCCGAGGGTGGCACGGAGCAGCAATTGCAGTAACTGAGGTAAGATAGGATGATAGGTAAAACCAGAATGTTAGGAATGGATTTGGGGACAGCTGGCAAGATCCTAGATATATTTTGAAAGTAAATACAATAGGATGTACTGACAGAACAAATGCTGAGTTAAAAAAAAAAAAAGGTGGGGATGGGAATGAATGTGATTTTTTTTCTTTGCCTGAGAAACAAAGAAGAGTTTTACTATTTCCTGAGATCAGAAAGTCCTGGAACACCAAGTTTGAGAAAACTGTTAGCCATTCTTTTCAACAGGCAGTTCTTGAAGGGCAGAGCCATGAAAATGGATGAGGATACTCAGGATAAGATCATCCCAAGGCACTCTAAAAGGAGAGAGATGAGATGATATTAACAAACAGTGAGTTTGTGTCCCAAGGATTAAGTGAGATGCTTTAATTATTAGCTTATGATATTTGTGCCCTTACCATCTGCCAGTCACTTTGTTGAATGTTCACATGCCATGCATGTATATCCGGGTATGTTTTCACTTTTCTTTCTGTGTTTACATCTGGGCTGATCAAATGATAGCAGCTAACACTATTTGTTATTCAGTAAATATTTACCAAGTCATTACCAGGGACCAAGCACTGTTTTGATTCCTGTGGGGTTGAAGCAGTAAACAAAATCAACTTTCTTAGCTCCTGTTGTCTCCTCAGCTCCTGAGGAGACAGATATGAAGATCAGGAGATGAGAATTTGGTACAGGGATAAGGGCTAAGTGGGGGGGGGGGAATGGCTCACACCAAGGTCTGAGGTGGGAACAAGCTGATTGAACTAGGAGATTAGAAAATACAGTGGAACTTGTACACAGTAAAATCAAATAAGAGTGAATTAAGGGAGACAATATAGGATCACAAAAAGCCTGGAAAATCATGGTGAGGAATAAACTGAGAAGCTACTGAAGAGCTGTGATTTTATATTAAAGGAATAGGGAATTGTGATGTGGTGTGTGATGTATAAAAATTACTCTGATTGCTTTGTAGGGGTTGAGTGGGAAACAAGTGAAACGAGAGTTTCAGTAAGAACCTAATCTAGTGATCCCTTAAGAAGCTGATGGATTTAAATTACGATGGTTATTTGCTATGGTTATAAAAGAAACATTCAGATTAAAAATATGATTTGGAACTAGAAATGATGGGAACATTAAGGGATTTGGTGAAGATAGGATGGAGGTGTAAAGAGTAATTCCAGAATTTTTGCCTTGAGAATCTTAGTATCTAAGTATCATTTATCAGAAAAGAGGAAATGGGGATTTATAATCAAGACTTCAGCTCAGGAAATATAATGCTGGAGATATTAGACATCCAAGTGGAGATGTTAAGAAGAAATTAATATTTGGAATTCAGAAGAGAGGAGAGATCAAAGATGACACACAATTTTATGTTTATGTAAATATATGAGTGTGTGCAGTTGACAGTTTTAGTTTTTTGAAATCACATAAAAAGAAGAGTACATTTAGAGGAAAGTTCTTAAGGGTGAGCCTTGAGTCATCCCAATTTTTAATGTTCAGCCAGAGGAAAAGGACAGATAAATTGAGAACTTGTAGCAATTCAGTAGAGGAAAACCCCTTGGCCATTATTCTGGGTCCTTTCTCTTCTTGTCCATTCAAGGGCTTCATTCACCTTATTTCTACAAAATCAGCTCTGCCCCTCTCTAACCTGTAAGCACTCACCCCCAGGTTTTAAGAGTTTCTATGTGTAATGCTCTCTCTGATATATTTTCAATCTAAACTTAAAGTTTCATGACTCCATGTCCCTTTTCCATTAGAGCTTTGTTTCACTCCTTGCTTTTCCATCAAACTTAATGAAAATTGTTCCTGTCACTCACTATTCACCTCCACTTTCTTATCTGCTCTTTCTCCCACTTTCTCTTCTAATTAAACTTCCATATGGGGAAGAGAAACAACAGGAAGTGCCTCAAGGGCAACGATTGATATGTTGCCACTTCTTACTGGACCGCTGAGTCCCTGTACATCCTTGCAAAGAAGCTGTCACTAAGAACACCCAAGACCACATATCCATCTACATTTGTCCAACTTATCACTCAAGATTAGCGATTTCAAATTCTTCCTCATTCCTGAAATGTTTTCCTCTTAGACTTCTTGATACCCCATGAAGGGGTTGGTCTCTGGCCAGAGTATTACTTCCACTGTGAGAGAAAGGAAGATTGGGAATACAGGAGATTCATTTGGCCAGCAGGAATAACTCACACTTCCCTGGTTGGGAGTTATGTGCAGTCCAGGCCAGCATATGCAACTCTCTTCTGGTACTGAAGTCTCAGTTAAACTGGTTTTCCCCTCAGCTAACAGGTAATGGTGAGAGTCTTAGGAGATATATGTCACTTTCAAATTGCATCTACTGCCTCCTCTACCCCTTATGGCAGCTTGGTCTTCTTGCTTGATTTAAGTTACGAAAGCTTTTCCATATAAAGCTGGAACAAATAGACATTTGAAGGGCATATGGTACTTCAGTCATTAATGCATGACTAATGTCAGATTTTGGCTCTCCTATAAAAATGAAAATATTTTTTGCAAGAATAAGGTGTCTCTACATTTGAAAGGTCAAGGTCTATTAATTTATGCTAAATATAACCCTGAAAATGAGGACTTCTGTGATTAGCTCTCTCAATCCTCTAATCTGATTATCAATTTTTGGCAGATGTTCCTCTTAGAACATCATGGCAATGTATTTGCATTGTAGCTGTCTGTTTTCTCTCGAATGAATTGTAAACTTCATGTTTGGTTAAAAATGAAATCTGAGATAAGGCTGTCCAGGTATTGAACCAGGGTCCTAAACACTTTATACAGGTTGAGCAACCCTAATCCCCAAAGCCAAAATCCAAAATGCTTCAAAATACAAAACTTTTTGAGCATTTACATGATATCACAAGTGAAAAATTTCATAACTGACCTCATGTGACTGATCACAGTCAAAATGCAAATGAACTAAAAATATTATATAAAATTGCCTTATGGCTATGCAATAAGGTGTATACCAAACATAAATGAATCTGTGTTTAGACTTGGGTCCCATCTCCAATACGTTTGTGTATGCAAAATTCCAAAAGTAAGAAAAATCCCAAATTCAAAACACTCATTGTCTCAAGCATTCTGGATGAGGTCTATTCAGCCTGTTATGTAGTAAGCCTGACTTCATCTTTTGGAAATATGAAAGAAAAGGATGTGCCTACAGTGAGTGAGACCAGGGGTCAGGACTCAGATTGCCTGTGCAGGCTATGTAGCTTGGGGAAAGTCAAGTGTTCATCTGAAGCTTTGGTTAACTTACTATAGAGTAAGGAGAATAAAGAATTTTCCTCAAGTGGTTATAGTGGGGGACATACTGAACTGAGGAAGGCCAAATATAATGCAAGCTCTCAATAAACATTATGGTGCTCCTTACTATGGTTATTGCTGCTGAGCGTCCCGTAGGGAGAAATTTTTCTTACTCCATTCTTGACATGCCACTGTCTAGTAGCTTGGAAAGCCAGACTGCAGTTTTAACTAGATAATGAGGCTGTGCTTATGTGGAAGATCTTGGATAAAATGGTTCAAAATTGGTCCCAACTTTCTGGGTGTCATACACAATTAAAAATTTGGCCCATTAAGTGAGAGAAAAGATGGTCTACATCATGAGTAGGCATTTGAAGGAACATATACCCAGGAAACAGAGCAAAGAGGTTTCTATCATTTTGTTTCTCTACAGAAGGCAATATTCTGCCAGAGCTATAGCAACTGAAATGACCAACCAAATCACCTATCTGATTAGAGAATGAGTCTCTCTGCATGCCATGGACATAGAAGATGTAGTGTCAGGTATGTTGGTATACATTTAATTTATTTTGAATTGATCTTTGCGTACTTCCTCTTATATGAGCCCATAGACTATGGAACATATTTTTAATGTTGTAATAAAAACACTATATTGTAAACAGGTTGTATATGGTTCATTTGTTTATCCTACTATGCTATGAAACCCCTAGTGTGTTTATCTTAATTTCCCAAATATATAGCACAAAGTCTGGAACATTTTAATTATTTAACCAAATTATTTTTTATATAGGTGAATGAATGAATAATGACAGTCAGAGGTACATTAAAACTTCCATTTTCTCTTTTTCCCTAGAGGGAACAGGAATGGTAAACATTCATCATACCGACTGTCCCATCCTTTGGTGTGGCTTCTTTATTACATAATACACTCAAATACACACTATGTCTGACAGAGGGTGCATTAGAGTCAACACTTCTGACTGGGCCCAATTGGTTAGAAAAATGCCTAGTTGGTGAAGGAGTTGCCCAAACTTTAACAAAACCCTCCTGACTGTTTCTCTCTCAGAGGAGATTAACTGCATCTCTTAGCAGATGTGTGATCTCCTCCTTAGTGTCAGCTAGACTCATTTCAGGTTTTATTTTGATAGGGCTTAGACTAGCAGGCAGCAAGAACTGTCTGTTTATTAAGGGGTTGCCAATGTTACTCCTTGAATGACTGTTATATAATATGTATCCCCAAATCACTGGGTTCAATTAATTTTCATCATTCGCTCGTATACCAGACATACCATATCTCCCTAAGGTGTCTGCAGAGAGAAGAAACATCTGCTTCAGTCCTTTCCATAAATTCTTCATCACCTAAGAAACTTGTGGGGATCTCAGAGGACAGGGCATCTTACTGAAGCTTGGAAATTCTAGGGGCCAGTATGATCCAGATTAACCTCAGATTCATTCTTCTGGGGGCCAAATAGGATGGGAGAGAGATCAGGGTAAAAGAATCCAACATGCAGAGGTACTCCTGACTCACTGTGGCTGACATGCTTTTAATTCTGGCTCTTCACATTCTCCTCTAAGGTCTTGGTACAGTAGGAAGAGCTTCGGTCTGGGTGTGTTAGAATGATTATAGGAACAGAACCAAGAACTGTGGGTTCTGGTTTCAACTCTGCTCACAATTGCATTAAGTAAACATGACCAGATATTTTGTCATCCTAGGTTCAGTTTATACAGATGTAAAATGAACACAATTAAATTTTTTTTTTAGCATTTGGCATCCACACTATAAGAACTCCATACCTTTAATTTTATCATATTTCAAACTATTTCAAGCTTCTCTCTTTAGTCATCACCACTGTAACTATCACTGGGTATGGTATTGAGAAGTCAATCTGGATGACTGTTTTCCCCAGTTCCCTCCCAGTATGGCATTTCCTGTTGACTCTGGACAAAGGAAATATTCCCCTTAGGCTTGTGGCAACCTTTTGGTCTAGATACGCATGTAAGGACATGGAGAGACGTGACATCCCTCTGAAAGTCATGGGAGTCACTTTGCTCCTCCCATATGGCCCCTCCTGTAAATTCAGTGAAGTTAGAGTAATCCCCCAGAGAAATTTAGATTCCCTGTACACTGGAAGATGTCTTTTTTCATGGATACAAAAATACTCAAGTGTTCCTCCTAAACGTAGTAATTTCCTTAGTGTCAACCTGGCTTGAACAGTCCCAACCTTCTAACTATCACTCTTGTTCAATTCTCCTTCCTCCTATGGTAGACAAACAGGCATTAAAGATGCACCTTGTTTCACATAGAAAAAGGAAAGAATATAAATTTCTAAAGTGCCCCTCAGAGTACTGAGTTCAACCTGTGTCTATCCACTACACCGAAGAAGAAGCATGAGGCCTGCTTTGTCCTACTCATGCTCCTGATCCACGAGTCACACTATAGCCCACAGTGGACTCAGTATTCTGCTCTGACTGAGAGCACCTGGAAACTTATTATCTTGAAAGAAACTATCACAAAATGGTGTCTGGTTGGTATGACCCCTTCTGGGTACAGGGGTGGCTTCCAAGCTTCACCAAGAAGAGCCTATGGGAGCAAGGCCACAGGTTTCGGTCCTACAAGTCCAGTTCAACTTGCTCTATTTCCTAATTAGAATCAATGTACCATCTATAAACTGTGCCAGGTTTCTCAATGGGAAGTGGAATAGGGAATGATTTGGATGACTCTATGCCATGGTGTAAGGAAATGAATGTCTTTTTGGATACTTAAGCACTTTCCATTTAATCCTCATAACATGTCTGTGTGGTAGAGTGATTAATAATGCCTTTTCTTTTTTTAAACAGAGAATGAAACTGAAGCTCTAAGAGTTTAACTTCTTCATAAGAGCAAGGAATAAAATCCACATGTCCTCTGACTCCCAAGCCTATCTCTCCAATATAACATGTAATTTCCCAAAATATTTGCTGTGATTCAAAAGGCTTTTTTTTTAAAAAAAAATATGAGTAGTAGATGATCAAAAAATTTCCAGTAGCTGAGAACAAAGAAGAGAAATAAATGTTGTTAGTCAATACCAAGTAACAACTCTTGATTCAGTATCAATCTTTGAATTTTATTTATGTCTGTTTTGGAGATATGTTTTGTTATATTCAGAACAATGTGAATAAGTAAGCTTGAAGCTAACTTTTCTTCTGAATACAATCCTGGCTAAATGTTTGCTAAAATCTCCCTCCACTAATAGTATTTGGAAGGTATTAGGAGGTCCTAATCTTGTACTTCCCAAACTGTCTGCCTCAGTGGATGATGCTCTGGTGACTCTGGAGAATTGACTATATCCATCTCTACCCGACTCTGTTATTCACTGATAACTGCAGTGGCCATTGGAATTCGTCATAATGAGAGCATTACACCATGGAAACTATACAAACTTCCCTTTCCCTGCTTCTTGAGAGTTTGTAGTTAGGCATTTACTCTTATAGATCTGACCATCATTCTTAATCAAAGGTATCTGGTAATCAAAACTGACAGTATTTCCAGAACAGGTTACTATTTTGAGGAATATGATTCTACAGTATGATGTCAGGGCTGTTGAAAACTGACACAAAGGACATGATGTGCAAAATATCCCAGACTACGGACCAAACTATGAGCAAGTTTTCAGGGGTTTCCAGAAACTTGGAAGATAACTTCTTTTAACTCCCTTCAGTATCTCCAGGGAAAGTCAGGAATAATTGTTAACTAGAGAATGTCAAATAAAAAGAGGAAAAGGGGAGGAAGGGAAGACATATTTCTCAAAGAAACCTTTAAACTACCCTCCTAAAATATCTTCAGCATTTCATCTATCATCTCAATATGGATTTTATATTAAAAAGTAACAAACTTTTAACAGATGTACTGACCTAAGGCAATAACTGTGAGGGGCTGATCTGGTCAATTTCTCAGGATACTTCAAAAAGACCTCTCTGGACTTGTATGCTCCTTTCCCAAAAGCATATAGCTATTACTCTTATACAAGGCTGATGGGGATGTAAAACAATGCAACCATTTCAGAAAATTGTGTGTGGCAGTTTCTAATATCTGTAAGTATTCAATTCAAGAGTAATAAAAATTGCATATCCACACATTACTTCACAGCCCCAAACTAGAAAAACAGTACATTTGTTGTATATAATCAACAACAGGATATTCGTGGTATAGTCTTATATTGGATTAAAATGAATGAATCATTGACACAATGACAAGGGTGTATTTCAAAAATAATAGTTGAGCAAGAGTAATGCAAATGGTACATACTTTATGATTCCATTTCTATGAAATTCAAGATCAGGCAAAACTAATATATGATGACAGAAATCAGAAATGGTTGCTCCTGGCCTGGGGATGGAAGGATTGACTCTGGGAAAGGTATGAGAGAACTTTCTGAGATGAGAGAAATATTCTATTTCTTGTTTGAAGTTGTGGATATACAGTTGTGAAAATCCAAACACTTAAGATACATTCTGAGCATTTTCTTAAATGTAAATTAGAATTCAATCGAAATACAGATGTAAGTACATTGAAATTATGACTCCAACCTACAGAGTCCATTGTCCCTCTCTGGTCAGACCCGTGGCTAATGACTCACACTTTCTCTCAGCATTTCTCAGACGTGCACTCCAAGCTCCCGAGATGTGGATTCGAGGCTTCCTGGATGCTCTGCTGCAAATTGGAAATATTGAGCAATCAGTCACGGGTCATTTCCCTTTGGCTTTCCGACTTCCCTCCACGCACTCTGGGCATCCCCTCTGGCTGCAGGAGAAAGTTTGGGAGGCAGGTTGAACTTTTCAACTTGGTGGGGAATTCCTCTTCCCCACGACACACTTAGCAGCCTGGGCCGGGTGGGGGTGGGGTGGGGGCGTGGGGGTGGGGGCGGGTCACCGCCCCGCCTCGTGAGTCAGCGGCCCCTCGTGGCTCCGCCCATGCGCGCTCTGCCCCTGGGGGGTCGATCGGACGCTCAAAAACGGCACCCGCTGCCAGACGGTGGCACGCCGCGCACCTCGGTTCCGCCTGCGCTGTCCTGGGACGCCCCGTCCCGCTGCTCGCTTGGACCGGCACGATGGACCCGACTCGCCGCCTGGCGCTGATGTTTTTGCCGCTGCTCATGATCGGGGCCGCCCCCGGCCGCCTGGTTCAGGCGCACATAGGTATCCGGCCCGGTCCAGAAGCCGTTCGTGGCGCCCGCCGTCCTGGACCCTCGGCCCGCTCTCTGGGCCCGGCTTTCCCCCGTGCCCTCTGCTCGGCGTCCCAGTTGACAGTTGCTGGGACCCAAGCCGCCGCCTCCCAGGGACGGTGTCTGACTCCCTCCCCTCTCCTCTGCCCTCCTTTTGCCCCCTCATAGGAAATAACGCGGAGATCTGCCTCCTGCCCCCCGAGGAAGGGCCCTGTAGGGCCCGAATTCCCAGCTACTACTACGACAGGCACACGCAGAGCTGCCGCCAGTTCATCTACGGGGGCTGCAAGGGCAACGCCAACAACTTCGAAACCTGGGCGGCCTGCGATGAAGCTTGCTGGAG